AACTCAGGATGGGTCTGGGGCATCTTGTTGCTGTCGATTGAAGATGAATCCAAGAATTTTTGGTGGTGAAAGGACACAAGAGCCAGCTTAAATGGCTCCCAAATAGCCAAACTGTGACTACGTGAGCACCAAAGTGAAATAGCAGTCAGTTTATTAAGACAAGATAAGTCTCAAAAAATTACAAGTATATAATGATATTTTAAAAAGGAAGAAATAATGTCTTTTCTCTATAAATAATGAGTGCTATACCTAGGTTGATTTTTTTTCCCAGAAAAAAAAGTTTACATTTAATTTTATGTGTGTTTTCAGAGTGGGTGGAAATGTTTCCATGCCCCAAAGCTAGAAAAGTCACTGTTAGTAAGGATCATAAATGACTTCTAACCCATGCTTGAGGTGGCTTTGTTTATTGATTGTGAGTGAGCCGATTATTTGGCTATCACCTCTCTGATGAACATCTCTCTACTGTGGTCTGAGCTGAGATTCTGAAACCAGATTTCTCATTTGCCGGTTGGTTCCCTGTCTTACTCTGTCAGTAGGGGTGCTGGAGGGAGACTGGGGAGCTGGAAGAAGGGGGTGGAGACAGGATGCACTTCTTCCTGTTTGCCTCCTTTTCCTGTGAGTGTCACACAATAATGCATTTTACCAAGGCAAGGGCATGGCTACAGTTGGTTCCAATTTGTCGTTTTCCCCACTCCCAGTGACAGCTTCATGGGGCCTCCTCAGAGACACCAGCACCAGACTTCAGAGATCTGGGCCCCAGACCCATGGGGCCCTCCTCTGGGCCAGAAAAGAAGATACATGCAATCTCATTGCTAAAAAAAAAAATCACGATGTATACATTTTTTGCCACAATAATCTAGCTAGGTTAGAACGGATATGTGATTAACCAATTCATATTAAGAAAGAAACTGCTACCTTACTCCATTGTGAAGATTGAGACATGAGCCAGTGACTTACTGAAGAAAAAAAACCAAGAATAATATTTGTGCAGACTTTCATAATAACACCGAAAATAACATTTGACAAATAAATACAAAGAGGCTCATCGTACCTTAAAAACAAGGGTCTAAGGCCACCGAAAGATTAAGTGTGGAAGTAAAACCCTTGACTCGGCCTTAATAGAATAAAAAGAAACACTAGGTCACAAGTCCCAAGACTATTTAATGAGAAGCCTTAAGAGGTATAACTTGTTGGGAGAAATAGTTTGTGGATTTAAAATACTGCAGGGGTCTCTGAACTCCTCAGAAAAATAAGGGATAACAGATTAGAGGATATTTACATTCTGTTTACCTCAAACATAGGCAGTGATCGGACAGGTGAAGAAAGACTTTATTCTCATTTAAACGCACTCAGGTGCCACTTCTAGTTAGGAAAGTGTGAAGGAGCCATCTGCTTCCTGGGATGGTCAAGTCTAGTTAGAAATCCTTCATGGGCTATTTAATTAAAAGTTCCCAAAAGAGAAACAGAAGAATGAGGAACAGAGAAAATAAATAGAAAACAAGTATTAAGATGATAGACCAAAGTGCTAACATGTCAATCATTACCCTCAATGTAAATCACCTAAATACACCTATCAAAAGACAGAGATTGACAGAGTGGATAAAAGAACACAATCCATCTAGATGCTGCTTATAAGAAACTCACATCAAAGTCAATGATTAGGTAAGTTGAAAGAAAAAGGATAGAAAAAGATATACCTTATAAACAGTAATTTTTTAAAAAGCAGGAGTGGCTATATTTTTTAATTAAAATTATTGATGTAACATTGGTTAATAAATAGGTTTCACAGAGTGGCTATTTTAATATCTGATTAAAGTAGACTTGAGAGCAAAGAATAGATCTATCTAGAGAAAAAGGGACACATAATAAAATGATAAATGTATCAATCCACCCAGAGGACAATGACCCTAAATGCATACACACCAAAAAATAGAGCCTCAGAGTACGGTTGAGCCTTGAACAACACTGGAGTTAGGGGTGTCAAACTCCCAGGCAGTTGAAAATGTATGTATAAATTTTGCCTCCCCCAAAACTTCATAGCCTACTGTTGACTGGAAACCTTACCGATAACACAGTCGATTAACACATATTTTCTATGTTACATATACTTATATATTGTGTTCTTACAATAAAGTAAGCTAGAGAAAAGAAAATATTATCAAGAAAATCATGAGGAAGAAAAAATAGATTTACAATAGTGTACGTATTTATAAAAAAAAAATCTGCATGTAAGTGGACCCGTGTTGTTCAAAGATTAAGTGTACATGAAGTGAAAACTAATAGAAATAGAACAAAAATTTTTTTCCTCTTAAACTTTCAGGAACTTGACTCTTAATGCAAAGTATGCAGACGCAAAAAAATGAGAAAGTGTTGTATTATTCATTTAAGTGTGGAAGATGTTTTTTGTAAGTAAAAGAATTTGCTAAATGAACTGTGCTGATCTGATTCATCCTTGTAAAAATCACAAAGGCTCATCTCTGAGTCAGAAATTTCAAAACCTCTATACCCACTTTCCCTCCTTGTGAGCCAAATGAGTTAAACAAGCAGTGAAACTGGCAGATTTAAAACCTAACACAGTTGGAAGCCTGGTTTCTGATCTTATTTATAGAACAAAGAATAAAAGGAACTTTAGTAAAATCTTAACTATGTCAACAAAACAAACAGCCAAATCTGCAGAGAGCCTTAAGAATTTACTTGAGCCAAGATTTTGAGGATATGCCGGAAGCAAGATCTCAATGGATTGAGAAAATGCTCCAGAGAATGGCAGTTTTACAATTCTTTTTATATATTTAGAATCAAAGGAGAACATGTAAGGAAGGTTATATGAAATCTATTGGTGGTAGATTAAAGAGGCTGGAGAAAGCAAAGTGGAGAAATCTCTAAGATTGGATAAAAAGGAAAATGGAGAGATATATACATCTTTTACATTGGTGGGCACAGTATGGTTAACGTTTAACAATTACAGCAAATAGAGATGATATGTGGGCAATGATAACAACAGAGTTTTGAGATTATTGCCAACGAGCCTGTTTTTGAGGGGTCTGGAAGTGAAAATTACTCTGACATTCCAAAGACATGTTATCTTAAAGTAAAGATGAACTTTTTACTGAGGATGCTATAGGCCTGGGATGTGACTATCCACCGTGATCAGCCGGGTTAGGAGTTAATATTCAGACCATCCTGTGTGGTTACTTTCAGTTCCTGGGCTTGTCAGGACTGTGTAGTCCCCTTTTCGTTCACAATTATAATGATCTCTGCAGGTATAAAAATATGATTTAAATCTATTTATTATTGTCTATATTTTATAAATTGCTACATTTACTAGTTTTAATTTTAAAAGTTAGTTAACTTGTAATTCTTTAAAATTTGCAGACACAATAGGACCTTTGAGTTGTTCTCATATTCAAACAGCAATCAGTTTGGGTTTAAAATTCTAGAGTCATAATGTTCTTTACACACCATCCTGCCGTCTCTTAACATTTGTTACTCAGAGAAGAAATCTGATTCCTGCTCGTTTAAATTATTTTGGAGAAATATGTTTTTTTTTCTGTTCATTTAGTGGCAAGAGTCTTTTTACTTAAATTTAAAAATTTTCACTTAGAAACTTTCTAGTCTTGTTCTCACTATATGAGTTTTTTCTTCCCATGTTGAACTTTCTCTCAACCTCTAATTACAGATTTCTTTTCAGGTTTACAGAGGTGTTTTTTTTTTGTTTTTTTTTTTTACATTGAGGTATTATTGACAAACAACATAATATTAGTTTCAGGTGTACAACATAACGATTCGATATTTGTATATATTATGAAATGATCGCCACAATAAGTCTATTTAACACTACACAGAATTACAGAATTTTTTTGCTTGTGATGAGACGTTTAAGATCTACTGTCTTAGTGACTTTCAAATACGCAATACAGTATTGTTAACTATAGTCACAGCGCTGTACCAAAAGTTTTTTAATATACATTTTTATCCCCGTTTATGTTCTACTGTTCCATGTTATACTTTGTTTGTAGGTTGGATTTAAATGGCTTGTCCTCCAATATATTTCTTAGCTCTTCAGAATGTATTTTACATTTGGGAGTATTTCTGAAGTGAATCTTCTCTGTTATTGATTTGTTTTTCACACCATCACATGTGCCTTTTATTGCTTCTAGTATGGAATCTGCTGCAGGTTTTTCTTCTCTCATCATTCTTCTGTCCTATATGACCCTGTTTCCTTTTCCTTTTTATCTAAGTCTATTCTGGTTTAATGGTGGTCATGTCCTCTCAAATTGTTTCTGGAGTTTGCTACACTTCTGTGAGCTCCCAGGCCATGTTTGTGACGGTATGCTGAGGGCGAGTGCAGGGTGTATGCTACCCTGGTGATGAAGAGGTTGTGGGCCTCACAGCAGAAAATGCCAAGTGTAACAGGGTGGAACTGAGTAGGGACAGAATGCAGAAATAACATGCGTGTTAGGTACCGTACTTAGCACTTTCCATAGGGACCTCATTTAGTCCTCACAAAAAAACCTAAAAATGAGATATCATTATCCTAACATGTCCTTCTGTGTGCCTGACACTCTTATCTATGCTGAACTGAACTGGATGGGAACAGAGAGTGGGCCTCAGGAGAGCAAGGCAGCCCTCTATTCCCCTGATAATATTAACACTTTTTTTTTTTTTATGGTGACATTGGTTAACAAAATCCAGTAAGTTTCAAGTGTACAATTCAACAGTAAAGCATATACATATTGCATCGTTTTAACACTTTATTTTTATTTACACAGAAGTACTCTTCTCATTAGAATTTTGTGAGGTTGGTTGAAAAGGTAATTGTCATGACCCCCCGAGAACAGGAAGGTGAGGTTTGGAGAAGTGTAGTGGGGACTGAGCCCCGCCTCTTGATTCCTACGTTGTCTTTGACGTCTGGAGCCAAGGCATGTGGTGATGGAAATAGAACAGCAGACTCAGAACCTCCCAGTAGTGGCATCATATCCTGTTGTGCAAGTTTTCGGAGCCTCTAGTTAGGGTGTTGCTTTGTAGCTGTCCCAGGAGCCACAGTGGTAGTTGGAGTTGGTGCCTATGAAGGATGAGGAAGGTTAGGCTCTCGGGGCTGCTCTGGATGTTTTTCATCTCAGGTAAGGCGAGGAAGTGGTGTGAGCAGGTGAGGCTTCTGCTCAGGACCTCGGTGGGTCACACCACGAGAGAATTTTCCCTTTTGTTTTGAAGTTCCAGGGGATATGGCTACCCAAAGTAGAGTCAACAAATAGTTATTCCAGGCTCGGTTTCTCTTCTCAAACCTAACAGAATCAGGGGAACATGTGGGCCTGAGAACGAAAAGAAAAGGTGGTAGGGAAACAGGATGTCTGTGCATTTTGATGTTGTCCAGAGACATGCAAATACCCTGGATGGGAAAAACGATAAGATAAATCTAAACTTGAAATGATCTAAAATAATTTTATTTGAGTTTAAAGGTTTTGTTCTTATATTCCATCATGGCGCTTTCGATATTGATGGTTTATTAAATACAAAGAATGTAATTCATTCAACAAATATTTCCTAGGGTTCTCCCATGGGGCATGAAATACGTTACTGCTAAGGACACGGAAGCGAACAGAAGAGACCTTCTGCCTATTTTCACGGAGGGCGGGCTCCCAGGCCTCTGCTGACTGCCGGGGTTGGAGGACACTGTTGCTCAGGCTGCTCCATCTCTAGGCCCTTACTTCTCTTATCGCACAGCTCACATCTTCACTAAAAATGGAAGCGTTTGGGATTTTAGTTGCTCCTCCTCCTAATCCTTATGAATAAATTGGAAAAATAACCACAGAAAGGAAAATGTCAACAGTGAGTTAATAGTAAGGTTTGCCTTGCAAAGACACAGGGAGGGTGTTTTCTGGGGATTCACCACTTTGAGCAAGGTCACAGATGATCACCTTCTGGAGCTTACACACAAACCTTGCTTTGGGTGTGCTTGGAGCTGAGGTGGTAATCCAGATGGGCAGATGGAGTTTGGTTCTCATGGACCAGTGCATTTCCTTGTGTTTCATTCATGTTTTTCCAAAGGAGTACTGGAAGAGGATGGAGGGTTGAAGGTTGTGTACTTGTGGGAGACAAAATCAGCAATATATATTTTGTCATGTGTTGTGGGGGTAGGTTAGGGGTTGACTAAAAGCTCCTTCTAGTTTCTGCATCCCAGGGAGTGGAGTTGTTAGGCACCTATTCACCCTTGGGTTGTGACTATTGTAATCCCAACCAGACAGCTACCTTTGGCCATGAGGTAGCTCAGAGGTTTAGGGCTGACTCTAGAGTCAGACTACCTGGGTTTGAGTCCTAACTCTACCTCTTTCTACTGTGAGACCTTGGGCAAGTCATTTAATAACCTCTGGTTTATTAAATAACCTGTGCCTTGATTTCCTTACTTTCAAAGAGGAATAATAGCAGTATCAACCTTTGAAGGTTATATGAGATAGTATTTTAAACACTTAGTGATAAACGATATTTGTTAACATTTATTACATCATAATAATATGTTATTATTAACATATTAGAAGGAATTCCTTTCTTGCAATGGTGGAAGAAACAGTGCACAGATAGCACTTCAGCATTAATTTCTTATTGTCTCCATTCACAGTAGAAAGGCAAGTTCGTAAGGAACCTCAGTCTCCTGTAACTCCTACTGTCTAAGTCCATTCGGGCTCCCATAACAAAATACGACAGACTGGATGGCTTATTAACAACAGAAATTTATTTCTTACAGTTCTGGAGGCTGTAAGTCCAAGATCAGGGTGCCAGTAAGGTTGGGTTGTGGTGAGTTCCCTCTTCTGGTTTGCAGACTACCGACTTCTCACCGTGTCCTCACATTGTGGCAGGAGGCGAGGGGGCTCTCTGGAGCTTCTTTATAGGGGCACTAATCCTGATGATTTGCAAAAACCATATGCAGTTTAGCTCTTGTAGTTAAAACAAAACAACAACAAAAAAAACGAAACAAAAATTACTCACAGTGAAGACCTGGGGTCTGGTGCTGGCTTGCAGAGAAAGTTGCATCATCTCTGGGTAGTCGAACAAGAAAAAGAAGGGATTCCTCCCTCTTTTTTTCCAAAGAGAGGAAAGTTATTCCTCACGGAGCTTAACTTTGATTTTCTGCTTACAGAACTCCAAGCTGCAACTGATTTATCTGAGGAAGAGTTTACCCTAGAAGAGGGGAAGACCCTGGAGGTGGACTGTCCTTTCTCCCGTGAGTTGTACCTCTACAGCCAGAAGGCATGGCAGAGGCTGACAGCTGGAAGCAAACCTGTGATATTGGCAAAAACAGAGAAAGGCTCAGGGATGTACAATAAAGTCCAGATGGGGAGGTACCACCTAGAGGAAATCCCAGAAGACAGCGTACTGCATGTCCAAATGACTGACCTTCAAGTGGAGGACTCGGGATTATATCAGTGTGTGATCTACCAGCCTCCCAAAGACCCCGTCATCCTGTTCTATCCTGTCCGCCTGGTGGTGACCAAGGGTAAGTGACCTGGGGCTGGAAGGGAGAGGATGGGGAGAGCCAGGCTAGGTAGGGGTCAGAGCCATGTGGTGGCACCAGCAGAACTGCAGCTCAGGATTTCTAGCAGCCCGTCTTTCTCCCAGAGGCTTCTTGTCTCTCATTTGAGAGGCATTTGGTCCAATATTGAGAGGTAGTTTCTGTGTATGGAATTCCTAATTTAGGGAATTCAACTCCTGCCCATGTCAATTGCCAGCTGTTCTAGGAAGTGGGGTACAGCAAAAGATGAGTGGTAGACTTGGGATAATTTAGTCTCATTCTTCAGATCTCCATATAGAAGTGGTTTCCTTGAGAAGCTGTTAGGGTTCACGCTCCCCCTCCCAAACATGCATTCGATATGCTTACAAAACAGTGCTTCTCAGAACTTACTGTGGGCACAGACCACCTGGGGGATCTTATTTCAAATACAGACTCTGATTCAGGGGGTCGAGGGTGGGACCTAGATTCTGCATTTCTCATCTGCTTGCAGGTGATACTGATGCTGTGGTCCACGGCTCCCTTTTTGGGTAGCAAGGCTTCAGAACTCGTTTTGTGTCCCCTCTCATTGATGACACTATCTCACTGAGTAGTAGAGGCCTGTTTACTCTCCTGTCTTCCTTGTACATCTCTGAGCACTTTGAGAGAGGGGCCTGTGCCTTGCTCAGCTTTGTATCCCCAGCAACTAATGTAGAGACTGGCACACAGGAGGCCCGCAGTAGATGTTGATATTAAGAAAGGCAGAGGAAAGAGAGACAGGCTCAGGTTTCTAGCACCTGGAGAATTCTAAACCTAAGGAACACAAGGTAACATATACAATATATTAATAAAAGATGACATGTGAAGCAATATGCCACAGGTACAGGTGAGTGCAAGGCAGAGTGAATGGTAATCAGGGAATTATTCTTGAGGAAGATGGGAGCATATGGATTGGTGAAGAATAGCAGGCAAGTGCATTTCCAATGACATAAACAGAAAATTCCTTCCTCCTTTTCTCTCCTACTCTCACCTTTTCTCCTTCCCTTTATTCTTTCCTTTTTCTTGTTTCTGACCTAGGCTGACCCCACACAATTTTTTTAATCTTAGTAAAAGAAAACCTTGCTTCATGAATAGCCATCTTCATTTCCCTTCTCAGCTCCATTTGTCCTACCTCCTGCCCGTCCGTCTGTTCATCCATCCACCTATCCAACGTGTCTTCTTGCAGGTCCTTCAGGTACCCCTTTCTCAGACAAGAATCCTACTCAGAGCCTGACTCCGAATACCATCCTTCCTCCTACCACCCTCGAGGTCCAGAGCACTCTTCATACCAGGCCCAGGGCTGTGACTCAACTCCTGCCCATGTCAACTGCCACCCTCTCCTCTCCTGGCCTTGGAGTCAACCCCACACAGGGGCCAGATGTCATCAGGTATGGTTTCCAGGTCTCTGGGACCCTGATTTAGTGGTCATGATTCCCAGCCCATGTGCTGAGAGGATGTGGGGGAGTGAGGGATAGGGGAGCAGACTTGAGTTACTTCAGTCTGGTGGAACTTCCCGGGGGAGGAAGGAGGTGGTGCTAGAGTGAGGAGGAGGCTCTTGGTGAGGCTGCCACTCTCCTCAGCTCACCTTCTGTGTTTCCTTGCATACCAAGGGAGAGAGGAGAGGGAAATTGCATCTTTGCTGAATTCCAATGGACCTCAGCCAAGCCCAGGAGCTTACTGGTATAGTGGAAAAGCATTTTGAGGAAACTTGGATTCTAATGTCAGCCAGCTGACTGGCTGTGTGACTTTGGGTGAGTCAGGAACCCTCTTTGGCTTCAGTTTCCTTGTCTATACAGTAGGGAAGCTGGGAAACTAGGGATGGAAGTGATAATCTAGCCAAACAGTTCTCAGCAGCTCCTGGGTGTTAGGGTTACCCGGACTACTTGCTTTTGCTTTGGGTTGTTTTTAGTATTGCTGCATGTGCCCTACTGCAGGCCAAGAGAATCAGAATTTCTGGGGCTGGTCTCAGGATTTTTTATAAGATCTTCAGCAGAATTTTAATGTGCAGGCAAAGCTAAGAACCACTAACTTTGCATGCATACCCCTCTTTACAGTTTATTATCAAACATTGATTTGTCTTAGAATGTGTTTATCATGAAATATTGAGTTAACAGGAAAAGAAATATTCTTCCATATTCTCACTAATCTAACATCTTTTTTCTCCATAGTCTCTTCTAGTCTTTATACATATTTTAACATAATAGTAATTCTAATTATAAACATTTTCATTATTTTTCTGTGCTAAAACTATTTTTCGATATTGCTACACAGTCTTTGTAATTATAATTTCAACGAATTCACACTTTTCTATCAATGGAGAAGCCATAACTTAGATAATGATTTGCCTGTTGTTACACATTGAGATTGTTTCCATTTTTTAATAGTATTAACTCTGAGATGAACATATTCTTGTAGATGTCTTTTTCTTCTTTTAAATCATTTATTCAAATGAAATTCCTTTTAAAGGAATTTAAACGTTTATATCGCTCTGTATACATATTGCCGAATGGTCTTCCAAAAATTAGAAATGATTTGCAGTGTGATCCATAAGGCGTAAGTGAAGCAGTATCACTGCAGGCTTGCCTACAAGGATTGAGTATTTCTAAAATATTCCTGCCAAAATAGATGTGAACTGGTACCTGCTTCCATTTCTCTATTACTGTGGATGGTGAGCTCTGTGTAGATAGAAGTGGTACCTTTTTCCCCTTATGTTATTTCACTGGCACCAGCCTAAGTAGGTGCTTAATACATAGTAGGTATTCATTAAATCTTTGTGGACTAAATAAAATAAATGATGTATGAGAGTCAACATTTTCCTTTCGTCGCTACTTTTCTTTCCTTGTATTTAAATGAGTACATAACATTCCTTCTAGAGTCTGTACCTCTTTTATCTATTAGCTTTATCTATTAATTAATGATGAACTAGTCTCTCAATTAGAGTCCAGTTAGGAAAGCAGACACCACTGAGCTGTTTGAAAATGAGGTAATTTAATACAGGGAGCTGTTTGCCCAGGTGGTGGAAGAGCCGAGACCCCAGTCTGGGGATGGATGGTGAGGCCCCTCAGAGGAAGCCACTTGTCACTCTGTCTTAGGGTGGGTTCCCCAAAAGCAGGCTGTGGGACGAGTCTTGTGTAAAGGTTTTAGGAAGCAATCCTAAATAAAAGCATTAGAGAAGTGGGACCAGGTGAGAAGGAAGCCTAGCAAAGGATGTCATAACCAAGCTGGGTCCCACGAGGGGAACTTTGGCTCAGTTCTGCAGAGGGCCCTGCAGATCCATGGATTATACCCAGAGTTGTCTCTATCAGGAACTGGAAGCTGGAGTATTTATATACCACATTTCCAGTCCTTGGTAAGGGTGGCCCAGGGGCACATGAGTTTTCAGGCACTGCAGGGTTCTGGCAGCCTTCATGCGTTCTCCAGAAGGGTTGCATGCTGGCCCCTGGAGTGGATGCACCCAAGAGCCCCGTGCATGAAATGTTAGAGGACAATGTCAAAGGGATACGACAGGACACTGGCAGGAGAGACTGGGAGGAGGTGGACTTAGTTGAGCCCAGGGCTGCGACCTTCGCGTAGCAGGGCTCAAACCCTAGAGGGCC